GTCGCCATTGTAGGCTGAGAAACGGCGGTATATAAGAGTAGTAAATAAATAAATAAATAAATAAATAAAATATATAGATATCCATTCAGGGGCAAAATGTGTAATTTCAGTGTGATTTGCAGTTTCCTTTCTGACAATACTTCTACATTTGCATACAGTTGTGTGAGACTGAAAAATAAGCCATTCAATATCTTCCCAGGTGAGACCCGGATGAACCTGAAACTGAGCTGGAAGACGAAGGGACAACAAAGAATAATTGTAGTCAATTGCAATACCAAGCCCAGGACTAGTTTCAATCCAACCTACTCACAGCACTGGTTGAGATAAAAAGTCTCATCTCCAAAATGTTACCTATTCCTGGGCTGGAGAATGCTCCTGTGTTCATAGGGTCATTTCCTCGTAGGTTTCTTTATAGGACAGTAATTCTCTCCTCTGAGACATGTTATGTGATCAGTTTTCCACACCTCTCTCTGTCTCTGTCTCTCTCTCTCTCTCTCTCTGTCTCTCTCTGTCTCTCTCTCTCTCTCTCTCTCTCTCTCTCCCAGGGTCTGGAATTATGTTACCGAATCCTCAGTCATTCCTTCCCCTTTGTGATGGAGTGGAAGTGAATCAGGTAAGCAGAAGGATTTCTGGGAAAGGAGGACGGGAGCTGCCTGGAGGTCATTTCTTCCAGGCTCAGTCATCAAACATCTCCTGAAACAGAAAAGACTGCATGGGAGTTTCTTAAAAGTGAAAAATAAACAAAACAAAAATCAAAACAAAACAAAAACAGGAATGTAAACCTGCTTTAAAGAGATTCCTGTAATTATTTTTCTTGATTTCCCTGATGTGAGAAGGCAATGTGTTCTTTTCCCACCAGGGACCAATCGCCTTTGAGGAGGTGGCTGTCCTTTTCTCCCCGGAGGAGTGGGCTCTCTTGAGTCATGATCAGAAAGCCTTGCACGGGCAGATCATGGAGGAGATTCACGGGATGGTGGACTCTCTTGGTAAGGCTCCCTCACTTGTGGGGATTTCTATTTCAAAATGCAGTATTGTCCTAAATCATCCCGGTCACTGAGAGTCCTCAAGGCAGGGCTTATGCTAGAAATATGTGACATAAGAGTAATATTAACTTGGTGCCTGAGCAACAGCAATCTTAGCACCAATTCGGACTCCAGTGGGAAGACTTCAATAGTCAAGTCCAAGCGTACCACACTTCCTCACGGCACCAGGGCCCCATGGAAAGCCTCTCAAGAGTGTTCACCCCAGATCAGTCACACCATCGCTCTCTTTCTCTGTATCTCAGTGAGTGTGTGAGAGAAAGATTGTCAGGGGAGGCGGTTGGGAAACAGATTTCCAATAAGTCACCCAGCAAAACTCTCTTGACTTCAGGCCCACATTTCCAGCCCCCTGCTTTTGCATCCTGTGTGCCCTTGGACGGTTTGAAAGCCACTGCACGCCTGAAGTCAAAAGGAGAAATGATGGGAAAGAGTTGTGTTGCAAAATCCGACTTGCTCTTGATGTCTGCTGACAGGCTCCTTCCCAGTAACTCGGGCTCCTTTGAAATCTATTAAGAGCCATTGCCCAGATTGATTGGCGGGAGAGCGGAGCATCAAGAAGAACAAACATCCGCTGGCTTCACGTACACAGACGCTGCTATACGTCTTTTTATTGGGCTCATGTTCAGCCTTGTTTTCCTCCCAGCCAGGCAGTCTAGCCTCCGCGTGTCTGCAGGCCAGGCTCTCTTTGTATGCTGCCTCTCCCAGCATGCAAACTGTCCCTAGCCTCAGTGATTAGCAAGATGCTGACCTGCAACATAATGTGTTCTATGTTCTATGTTTGCGAATGATAGGGGCTCGGGTTTTTGTTTATTGGGGAACTGGAGGTTGGGGGAGAGAAAGGAAAAGAAGGGAATGATTATGGAATGGGTGGTAACAAGATAAAAGTTTAGCTAGAGAAAAAGGGAAGGATTTGAATGTGAAGGGAAAAGGGAGAAGGAGACAGAATAAAAAAACATGCTAGGTATGCTCTGGAACATATGTTACTCAGCTTTCCCTTAGAGGCTCCAGGCTGTCAAACAATGTCAATCCTTACCTCACAAGGGGTGGAAACAGGACAGTGTTTATATCAGACACCTTAACACTCACACTGAGGAATGATTGTTTCTGTCCTTCTTCTTCACAGCAAATAACTGGAAGAAGAGCAATGTATATACCAAATGCAAGAAGCATTTTGGGCTCAGTGGGAGCCTTCTCAGACACCAGCAAACCCACAGTGAAGATGGAGGTTCTGCCAGTGAAAGGCCCTACAAATGCAATGTATATGGAGAGAAGCCACACCAGTGCCGAGAGTTTGGGAGATGTTTTGCTCAGAGTTCAAACTTGGTGAGCTACAAAACACTCCACAGAGTAGAGAAGCAATACCAATGCCAGGAGTGTGGGAAATGTTTTAGTAGCTGTTCAGCCTTAGTGAGGCATAAAATAATCCACA